AAGAGGATTGTGGCCATTTGATTTTAATTAGGATTTTCAGATTTATGTAACATGGTATTTGTTTCTTTAACAATGGGTCTCATGTAACACAGGCTGACCTTGAATTCACTGTGTAGTTGGGGATGGCCTTGAACTCTTGATCCTCCTGTGTCAGCCTCTTGAGTGCTGGGATCACTCGTGTGTGCTATCACATCTGGTTTATTTAGTGCTAGGGCTCAAAGCCAAAGTTTCATGTGCAAACTGAGCTATACCCTCAGTCCAATGTGCTGCATTTTAGTCATTAAAATTGTGTTTGTGCTGTCGCAAGCCTCTAACCTAGGGCTAGGAGGCAGAGGCAGGAAAATAACTAGTTCAGGGCTAGTCAGGGCTACACAGTGAGGTCTGTCTCAGAAAACCAAGAGGGTTGTGGATATAGCTCGGTGGGAGTACACTTGCTTGGCTTAGGTTTGATCCAAAGCACTTAAGAAAAAATTCTTTTAATTATTTAAGGGTTGGTAAAGGAACTTTACTGTACTAGCCTGGCAACCTGAGTTTGATCCTTGGTATCCACATAAAGATAGAAGGGAAGAAACCAACTCCCCCAAGTCTTTTCTTTGACTTCCACACACTAATAAAAATAAATCGAGCTGGGCAGTGACTTTAATCTCAGCACTCAGGAGGTAGAGGCAGGCAGATCTCTACTGGGGTATGTCTTTCTGTATGCTATGAATATGTGTTGCTATGATTGGTTAATAAATAAAGCTGTTTTGGCCTATAGCAAGGCAGCTTATAGGCAGGCAGAAAGTCCAAGACAGAAACAGGAAGAAGAAAGGCAGAGGTGGAAAGAGGTGAGCCAACCGCCCAAGGAGCAACATGTAATGGGATGCAGGTAAAGCCATGGAACATGTGGCCATACATAGATTAATAGTTATGGGTTAATTTAAGGTATAAAACCTAGCTAGCAAGAGGCCTGCCATAGACTCTACAGTTTGTAAATAATATAAGCCTCTATGTGTTTACTTGGGTCTGAGCAGCTGCGGGACTGGGCAGGACACAGGAAAACTTCTGACTACAGATCTCAATAAGTTTGAGGCCAGCCTGATCTACAGAGTGAGTTCCAGGATAGCTAAGATTGTTACACAGAGAAACCCTGTCTCAAAAAACCAAAAAATAAATTTTAAAACGTAGTCTTGATAGTTTGGGAAATACATAAAACTGCTTTTTTGTTTGTTTGTTTGTTTGTTGTTTTCTGTTTTGTCGAGACAGGGTTTCTCTGTGTAGCTTTACGCCTTTCCTGGAACTCACTCTGTAGCCCAGGCTGGCCTCGAACTCACAGAGATCCACCTGCCTCTGCCTTCCAAGTGCTGGGATTAAAGGATAAACTGCTTTTAGAAGGAAGTAAGACAAAATAAGCCAAGTAAAGTTAATGGAAACATGTTAGGAATTAAGTTAATGAAATTCTCTGGAAACCAGATTTCAAAGTTAGGAATAAGGGGTGGGGAGATGGCTGAGTGATTAAGCGTACTGGCTGTTCTTCCAGAGGACCTGGGTTCAATTCCCAGTACCTACATGGGTACTGGCAACTGTTTGTAACTCTGATCCTAGGAGGTCTGACAGCCTCTTTCAGCCTCCTCTGGCACTGCACACACATGGTTTGCATACATACATGAGGGCAAAACACCTGTACACATAAAAATTATTTAAAAAATGAAATTAGGCTAGGTGGTAGTGGCGCATACCTTTAATTCCAGCACTCAGGAAGCAGAGGCAGGTGCATCTCTGAGTTTGAGGCCAGCCTGGTGTTCATAGTGAGTTCTAGGACAGCCAGGGATACACAGAGAATGGAGAAACCCTATCTCAAAGGTGGGGGGGGGGGCGGATTAGGAAGTGTTATTTTCTCAAAGCTTCTATATTTTTCCTACAATACCTCAGAAACCATAATCTGAGAATGTCATAGATCCTTGAGAAGCTGAGAAATTGACTAATATGTGATGAAGTACATCTAGAGAAATCTAGAAGAGATTTCAAATGGCATAGCTGGCAAATTTATACGCAGGAAAGGCTTTTGAATAGTGCACAACCATTTTCAGTTTTGGAGTACTAGGAAATGCTTTGGAAGTGAGTAATAACTCACTTCAAGGTGACATTTAAAAACAAAGGTATTCAGTGCTGCTGTTCAGAGTTGCTGAGATGTAGTGTTCACAAACATCTCCATCAGAGATTGTTCTGACTAGAATGTGGTTAAGCTCCAAAAGTACAGAAGGTGGAGGGTTAGAGGAGGCCCCACCTCTCCTTCTGAAGAGCTATAAGCAGTTAATGGTTAATGAGGTTGGGAAAAGACATTTTCTCCTGTGTTGTCCCTAACCCTAACCTTGTGAACCTTAATTAATTACTCTCTGGATCACACAAAAAAAGACGAGTGGAGGACTAGCAATGAAGAGGAAAGAGCAGTGCAGTGAGAACACGTGTGGAAAAAAAATCAGAGGACAATGGGAATGCCTGCTTCTAAAGGGGAATCTAGTAGAAGTTTTTCTGTGTGTCCAGGAGTTAGGACATCAGTGGGCAAGTGTGTTAATGAGAGGACAGTTTGTAGGAGTTGGGCCTCTCCTACTACATGGGTCCTGGGGATCAAACTCAGTTTGTCAGCCTTACGAGCAGGTGTCTTCACCCACTGAGCCATCTTGCCAGTTCTGAAAATTTTTTTTTCCCTAGGTCTGTTTTTCCAGAGATTGGTTGACTACACCAGCAGTTTAAGGCCTATTAACTCGGTGGGATCTGGTCTCATCCCCTCATCAAAAAGTGCAAAACTGAATGGCATTAGCTTGTTTTCTTCAGTCTTTGATTGCTATCAATTAAAATAGTCTTCAAAATACTCAGGTCTGCTTTCTGAAAGCCAAATCCCTTGAACTAGATGTTTCCCAACAAGCATAAACAACAGAATTACCAAGAATCTAAGGAGTGAAGTTGTGAAAAACAGCTCAAGGACAAAGGTTCCCTGTGTGCAGTGGTGTAATAAAGATCTGCAGGCTGTAGTCCAAACTTGGATCCACTCCTGGGTGGGGTGATCGTGGCTTGTTGGCAGCTTGCTGTTGTTTTACAAGAAATGATTTAAACTGCTAAGACCCCAAGCTCTAGGAGATACTTAACTGGAAAGGCCTACCAGGAATGTTATAACCAGAAGTGAGTTTCTAAGAATGCAGGCATGCAAAATAGAAATAGATGCTGAATTCTGAGAATATTCATTGAGTTATCCATTCTCAAATAGTGCTGTTTTTGGTTGAGGCAGGATTTGATTTTATAGCTCAGGCTGGTCTTGAATGCTGTTCTTCTACCTTAGTTTCATGAGTGGTGAGGTCTCAATGTGGGCACTACCATACCCAACTATCCTGTCCATTTTTGTTTGGGCTAAGATTTCAGATGGTCTCTGTCCCACTTCCTGCCTGACACTCAGCCATGTAGGTAAGGATGACCCCAACTGCTGATCTTCTAACCTCTACCTCCCAAGTGTTTGAATTACAGAACTGCACACCATACCCACCAGGCAAAGGTTCCCATGGTTCTTGGTGTTGGGAAATAGCAGTTAATACATACATTGTTCTTTTTTACTGTAGTTTTACGCCTGGACCATGTCGTTATGTTAGCAAAAGACAATGATATTCATTCTGTTCTATTGATACTGCTATTTTAGGAGCTATTAATTGCATTATGTTCTAACTCAAATTCTGAAGTCCTTACTCCTGGTACCTCAGAATTGACTTCTTTGAAGACTTAAATTAAAAAACAAAAGTTTATGTGTATGTATGTGAATGCCACATGTGCAGGAGCCTGCAGACAGACACTGTCAGAAAGCACTAGATGCCTCAGAGCTGGAATTTCAGGCAGCTATAAACCACCTGAGATGGCTGCTGGAACCAAACTCAGGGCCTCTGGAAGAGCAACAAGTATTCTTAACTGAGTCATCCCTATAGCCCCAGAGATGGTATTTTATTTTTAAAGAAACTTGCTGTATCTGAAGACCTTGAGTTCCTGCTGTTTAAACTTGTATCTCCAGAGTACTTGGATTGCTGCTGTGTACCACCACAGATCTTTAGAGCACGTGGTAGGATTGACCATATGATTGGTGATCCAATAAGGACATGGAGATTTGGGACAGTCAAGTCAGGAGGACATTCTATGGCATAGACTGCCACTGACAAGCTGAGAAGCTACAGTTGGGTAGCTGCCAGTGGTTTCAGAACTGAGAACTGGTTAAATTTCTACTACTTAAGAGACCTGCTTCACAACTAGTACAGTAGCCACTAGAATGCAGACAGATTAATCAATATGTTACCACACCAGAAACCCTACATCCCCACATTCCTAACTCTATGGTAATACTTCAGTGGATCTTCTCAAAATTCAGATAGATTTTTGTCACAGGTTGGGGCAAGACTTCATAGGTATATAACTGAAGATGAAATGCTAAGAGCTCTGGTAATAGGTACTTAGATGAAGCTAAAGTGCCAGTTGGTTATGAAAGAGTGTAAGGTGGTTGTATGCTTACTGTCTCACACCTTCCCAGTTCTCCCCGTTTACATCCTTCAACTTAAGCAGAGGCTTTAAAAACATTCATTGGGTGTGGTGCTTTATGCCTGCCTTCCCAACAACACTTGAGAGGCCGAGGCAGGACTTGATAGTTTGAAACCAGCTTGGGCTACAGAGTGAAACCTTGTCCCAACCCAGTTACAGCTGTTATTAACTCCAGATCCAGGGGATCTGATGGCCTCCTCGGTCCTCCATGGGCACTGCACACACCTGGTGTGCTTACATAAAGGCGAAAGACCCCACATAAAACCATTACCACCACACATATGTCCTCTGTGGCCTACTTCTGGCAGTGCAATAGTTAAACACTTCACAGAAGGTCGTTTTCAGTTTTGAAAACTATGGTCAGTTTCTTTGGTACCTTTGTTTCCATTCATGAACTTGGAGCATAGGCAAGAAACTGGGTACTAGTCACCAAAAGTGACAACTACAGACTGTCATGCAATTGAAAACACCGCCATTAAGTATAATTATATACTGAAAAATGCAGTAATGCCAGAAAACAGTCAAAAAACTTGTCAAAGGCAGATTATACAGGCTGTGTTTCAGATCACCCACTTTAACATTTAAAAAGAATTTATTATTTTACATAAACATTACGTAAAGATAACAGTCAGGTAGTCTCGTGGACTGGAAGGTGACTGATTAATTCCCTTTCATTCCCAAACCTCATCAGGCAGTCACTGCATTTATGAGGCAAGTCAGCTGAATGCTTGAAATCAAGATGAATTTTAAGATCTTCAATTTGTCCTGTTGAATATTCACAATATTGGCATAAATAAATCCCTTCGGATATATGTGAATTTAGATGCTTGCAATATTCTAACATGCTGGAAAAGCCCTTCCCACAGTCATCACAAACATGAGGGAATATTTTAGTATGCTCGATGGCAACGTGTCTGTTCACATTTGTGTGAAGTCTGCTCCGGAATCCACAGACTTGACACACGAAGAAGTTTTTGCATTTGTCAAAGGTGATCTTGCTTAGAAGGCTGCACTGCCCATGCCCACCACCGCTGCACTTGTCACTCAGCTCGATCAGTCTTCGAGCATGCTCATTGACCACGTGGCTGTGCAGGTCCTCAGGGTCCCCTGTCTCGTGCTCACAGAACTGGCACAGGTACTGCTCATCGCGGCTGTGCTCCTGGAAGTGCAGGTAGAGCTCACTGCTCGAGGAGAACTGCACATCACACTGCTCACACCAGTACAGGTGGTCGCTGAAGTGGGTGTCTGCAATGTGCTGGCTGAGGTTCTCAAAGATCACTGTCTTATAGTCACAGTACTTACAGATGTAGGGGGGGTCTTCATGAAGTTTGGCATGTTCAATGAGAAGCATATTGGTAGAAAAGCTTTCCTTGCACACTCGACACACATTTGAGTCAGTGCGTTTGTGTTTCAGGATCATGTGCTGCTTTAGGTCAGAAAAATACTTACTGTTGAATTCACAGAGTTCACACTTGTACAGGCCACTGCTGTTGGCTCTCAGTAAAGGCCACTTCTGTTGGGCAGTCACATTCAAAGCTTGGCTCTTGTCAAGTATTTTGCAGAGTTTAGCTGGTGGTTCTTCATCAGTCTGGTCTTGGAGGCTCTCGGAGGAATTGTTCTCTGCCTCTATATCATAATCTTCAGAAATCGCATGAACTTCTACAGCAATTGGGACGTCCTCTGAGGTGTGAACCTCTATAGGGCTTTCCTCTTGAGTATGCTGATGCACTGACTCAGGTGAGTCACACTCTTCATCACAAACTTCAACATCAGCAGACTTTTCTGAAAGAGAGTAAGCCACTGTTGTAGCACTGCACTAAAGAGGCCATTAGGAAATCACCCCAGTGTAGTACTAGACACAGTACATCCCGTTAGAAACAGTCGTCCTCAGTATTGTAGCGCTGTACTAAACAAGCCCATGAGAAACCACTGTGTGAAAAGCAGTTACAGTACACATTGCTTTTACCTGATCTGTGCAAAATATGTTAAATTCTATTAGTTAATGAGTTCCCCTAACCTGTGGAAAAGACAGTGTGGTCTAGAATTCTAAGCACCGGACTGGGAACCAAGTAGTTCTGATTCCTATTTCTGGCCTTAGTTCCATCTGTAAATTTGGGCAAGTCATTTGATGTCTCAGGATCAGAATCATCATCTGTAAAAAGAATTTGGGAAAACATTTTATATCAAAGCATTAAGCATCACAAAATACTTTTAACATCAATAGGAACAACTTAGATTTAGCCATGAAAGGATTTAGCTGAAGTTTTCTCCAGTCTGGTCCTGCCCAGCCCCACGGACTCCACAGCGGCTTATAAAACAATCACTTAGAAGCTTATATTAATTAAAACTGCTTGGCCATTAGCTTAGGCTAACTACTGACTAGCTCTTACACTTAAACTCAGCCCACTTCTGTTAATCTATATGTTGCCACGTGTTCCATGTCTTTACCTGTGTGCCATTACATGCTGCTCCCTAGACAGCAGAATGGCATCTACTCACTCAGCCTTCCTTTCCCAGAATCCTCCTTGTCTGTTTATCCCACCTATACTTCCTGCCTGGCTACTGGCCAATCAGGTTTTTATTTATTAACCAATCAGAGCAACACATTCACAGCATATAGAGCAATATCCACAGCAAAAGGACATATTACCTATTGCAGAATCCTACAGACACTGAGAATATACAGAATAATTCACTGCCTTCCTTTATATGCCCTACTTAGACTAGAATACACTCTAAACTTCCTAAGGAATGAGACTGAATCATTATTCCTTTAGTCCAGCCTCGTTCCCTCCAAGTTAGCATGGGAAACTGACATAAGGGTCATCAGAGAAAACTAGACTGCAACATGTGTGTTTAAATAGACTTTGTTTTGTAAAAACAGTTTTAGACTTAGGGGGAAAGTCATGAAAATAGTATAAAGTGCTCCTAATATATCATAACGTTTCCCCACTATTAATTCATTACACTAGCATGGGGCATATTTTGCAATTAATAATTAACATATGACCGTGGATACTGACACATTATTACTAACTGTAGCCCATACTTCATTCAGACGTACTCTGTTTTTACCCAATGTCCTTTGCATCCCACATACATTTAGTCATATCTTTCTAGGTGCCTGGAAACTGACTGTCTCAAGGACTATTGGTCAGCCATTTTGTAGAATGCTCCACTAATGGAATTTATCTTTTTTTTGTCATGATTAGATTGGAATTAGGAGATCCTGTAGGGTAGACCCCACCGCCATCACTTCCAGAGTACACACTAACTGCTGAGCTAACCCTCTTGTCCTGGCTAATGTAGCATTTGGTTTCTGTACTGTGAAGCTGTTCTTGTCCCTTCCATACTCTACTCTCTGAAAGTCACTGTACAGCAAGTCCCAAGACAGCCATGGCTACAAAGGGAAACCTGTCTTAAGAAAAGGGGGTGGGGGTGGTGAGGAATTATTTTATGCAGGACACTTTTTCTTCTACCCCTATTTATGCACAATCGTTTCTAGCAGTATAGAGTCGTGTTTCTCAGATGATTTCAGCTCTGGCTATTGGAAGCTTTCCTTTTATCTCCAATGCTGAGGTGGAAGCCAAGGGCTCATGTGTTCTAGACAAGCACTCTGTCATCTGAGCTCCCCCTAGTCCCTCAAGAGCACCTTCAGCTCACCCATACTGTGTGTGTAGTTTTGTTTTTTAATACTTCCTATTTTCCAGCACTTCAAGATGCTCCAAACTCATCTTGTCTATTTCCTCCCCATATCTAGAACCAGTCATGTGTACAGAGGCCTTAATTCCTTGGTATTATAAACCAAGATCTGGACATAAAATGTGTACATTGCTACTAGGTACTTCTTTAGGCCTCACAACTGCCTAAAACAGTCCTGTTAACTCTCACAGATCCAGATGCACATCTGTGAGCACTTCTGTGTGAGCATGCGAGTCTGTACTGAGCCAGGTATAGGCTCACACTGATAACGGAGTCGCAGACAGGGAGCAGCAATGGGTGTAGAGAAAGCAGAGAGTGTATGTTCTTACCATTTACCAATGCTCTAGAAAAGAGGAGGCAACAGAAAACTTAAGACTGAAAATACCAAACAGCCGCCCCTGATCCTTCCCTTCTATCAGCACTCCAGACCAAGAGAAGTGGGCAAAATTATTCCTAACACTTGACTACCAACACTCCAACTCTAGGTCACTCCTGCTTTGTATCAACCCTTAGCCAAATAAAAGGACGTAAGAGTTTGCTTAAAAATAAAAACCACTTATTTGATTTTAAAAAAACAAACAAACAAAAACACCCTTTTTTCCCTGACATTACAACAATTAAAATGTTTGCCTGCCTTGGAACTATAAACCCACATTTCAAACTACCTTTTCCAATAATTACTAAGGAAAAACATGCAAAGGCAGCTTTGTTTCTTTTTGCTTTGCTTTTTTTTTGTAGTACTACAGAGGAGTCAGTTCTTACACATAGTGGGCAGACACTCACCCACAGAGGAATCCCTAGGTCCTGAAAAAGGGACTTAGACCAAGTATTCTGGAAAATAGGGGCCTTACCTTTGTTGTCAAAGTATTTTAAGTCTGGCTGTCTCATGGAGCAGACACTGTAACAATGATCAGAAAAGATTCCACTGACTCCATCTGTGATTCTGCTTATTCCAGAAGAATCTAAATATAAAACAAAATGAAGACAATTCCCAGCATAATACACAGATGCATGAGCTTGTTTACATATTTTTGTCTACTCCTCCACCCAATGTTAAAGATTGAACCCAGTGCCTTGCACATACCAGACAAACCCTCTACACTGACCTATATCACTAGCCCATATTTTCATGATTCTAATGAGTTTCAGCATGAAAGTGTAGCATGTTCCTCAGTGTTACTTAGATCAGACCCTGACATTGCTTTAAAGGAGCCGTCGATTAAACTGTAGTGACTCTCAAGAAGCCGAGTGGCTGCTGCACCCCAGTGGTGTCAGCACTGCACGGCTAAGGGATCAGCAAGGCTCTAAAATGAATTTAAATAAGATAAACTAAAACCTTCAGAAACGGGCTGGGGAGAGGGCTCAGATACTCTGTTGCAGAGGAGCTAGGTTCAGTTTACAGCACCCACACAGTGGCTCACAACTGTCTGTAATTCAGTTCCAGGGGATCTGACACCTTCTGGCCTCCACATACATACATGTAGGCAAAACAGTCATACACATAAAAATAAATATACCCTTAAAAACATACAAGGAAATATTTGCCTTATAGTTTGAATCTCACAAAATACATGTATGTAATAAATGCTGTGTTAATGATTAAAACAGTGAATTAACTACCATGAACTACTAAGAAGTCATGCCACATAGTGCCAAGAAAGTATACTACATGAAGAGAAATAGTCCTAGGAGTGGAGAGGGCTTCTGAATACCAGCCATTCCAAATGCTGCCTGGGAAGCACCAATACACAATAGACTGAGCACTTTCTTCACAAGGGTCATGTGCAAGGAGCAAGCTAATGGGTATGCCTGAAAGAGCCTCAAGTATGTGTGCTAGAGATGGACACAGAGACACAAATCTCCTTTTTTCTTCCTTTTTTTTTTTTTAAGACAGGATTTCTCTGTATAAGTAACCTTGGCTGTCCTAGAAGTCTGTAGACCAGGCTAGCCTTGAACTCACAGAGATACACCTGGAGTGTTAGGATTAAAGGCATGTACTACCATCAGCCTCCCCCTCCCACCTTTTTTTGAGAACGGATCTCATGTAGCCTAAGATGGCCTCACTCTGGATCTTTCCTGCCTCCGCCTATCAAGTGATGGGATTAGAGGTGAACCCAGGGCTTCATGTATGCAAGGCAAGCATTCTAAACACTGAGATACACCCCCAGCCCAGACCTCTTCTTCTGTTAACAGAGCAGAGCCAACCTCTATAACAATCAAGGTAAAACTGGGGAGGTACAGTGATAAAGAGCACTTGTTGCTCTTGCAGAGGACTTGGGTTCAGTTCCAGCACCTACATGATGGTTCACAACCATCTGTAATTATAGTTTCAGGGGATCCAACACCCTCTTCTGACTTCCTTAGGCACCAGGCATGCACATGGTGCCACATACACACACAGATAAACACTCAGACACGTAAAATAAAGGTCACGGTTCCAAAAATAGTGCTTAAGAAAAAGCTTTATTTCTCAATGCAAATGCATCCTGTGGAAGTTACTGTTGCACCTTGAGCACGTTTGTGACTCTGACAGGCAGAGTCCAATTATGCTGCATGAGAAGTAAGCTTGGACATCTAATAGGTCCTAGCTGAGTAAGATGTACAGTTGTAAAGCATCCCTGTAGCATTCCATCTAGCAGACAAAGTATATGCAGAGGATTTAGTCAATGTTCTCAGATCAGAAAATGGTCCAGATATTGTCTTATCATTTATGCAAAAATAGATGGGAATAACAACTACATGGAAATTAATCCATTACTCTTTGAAAATAATTCAATTATACACTAACCTGAATAACGAGAAGGATGTAAAGTCTTCCTTTTTCTTTTTTTAGGATATTCATTCATATCTTTTCCGTCTAAAAAATGAAAAAGATTTAACAGACATGGTACAATAACTGATATTATTGTATAAATTCTTTTGAGCCAAAGAATTTATTGGCAATAAGAAATCTGGAGGGTGGAGAGATGGCTCAGTAGTTTTCTAAGAAGACTGGCTACTCTTCCAGAGGACCTGGGTTCAATTCCCAGCACCCATGTGGCAGCTCACTACTATCTGTAATTTGAGTCCCAGGGCACCAAATATGCATGTGGTGCAAGACATCCATACACATAAAGTACTTTATAAAGAAATCTGTGTGGAACATGAAAATAGGCGTCACAAGAACAACACTGCACAGTGCCTCTATTGCAAACATTGTAGAACGCCTACCAGACAAGCCTAGACTACGAGACCCTGTCCATAAAACAAAGCAGCACACACCTTTTAGTCCCAGCACTTGGGAGGCTGAGACAGGCAGAGTTTGAGGCTAGCCTGGTCTACATAAAGAGTTCCAGGCTAGCCATGGTTACAAAGTGAGACCCCTGTCAAAATACACACACACACACACACACACACACACACACACACACACACACACACACGCACGCACCATTATGCCCATGGGCATACAACATTTCTACAGATTTCAAGTTAAACATGGATATTTTTCCTTAAAAAATATAGTTGTGAGTCTATTAACATAATGGCTTCCAGAAAAAAAAAGTGTTGTACAGAATCTTGGATTATAAGTAAATTTTTAAGAAAGAAAAATCTTAATAATGATTATGAGGTCACATTTAACATTCTCCTGAGAATAAAAGTATGGCGACCACCAAACAACTAAACTCCCATGAACCATTAGAAAATCTACTAATTAGTTCGGCTGTGTTCCACTTACTTGGTATAATTCTCAATACTGCAGTGAGGAAAATGAATTACAGGCAAATTTCCACTGATGGCAAAAAATGTCTACGAATAAAAGAGACCAGCAGTCATGTAAGCAAGAGCACCACTGAATGAGTGTAGCCTATGGGTAAAATGCTTTCACATCTTAAATTAGCCACAGAAAAATGAACTCAGACATGTTCTTTATGCTTTCTAACAATTATATCTACTGATAAATATCCAATTATATGTAAAATTTTTATATTTCTTAAAAAAAATTTACCTTTGTTCATAGCCATAGCTATATCTTGATGATAAAATTATAAGTCTGCATTAATTTTATTCAGTCATTAGAAAAATCACAAATGGCTGGTTGTGGTGGTGTACACCTTTAATATCAACACTCAGAGGCAGAGGTAGGCAGATCTCTCTGAGTTCGAGGCCAGCCTAGTCTACAGAATGAGTTCCAGGACAGCCAGGGATGTTACACACAGAAACCCTGTCTAGAAAAAAACAAAAACTAACAAAAAACTTAAACTCCTTCTCCCATCTCAGCTTAACATCTGTCCACTCATGCAAAGAGCAGGGAGGGAGCATCCTGCATACTGCTTTTCTCTCCCCCACCTCTTCCCTTTGAGCTTCTTGAGACAGAGTCTGTGTAGTCCGGGGTAGCCTGGAACCCCATGGTGGGCCTGTCCTAGCCTCCTAAGTCCTGGGGTTACAGGACCAATCTTGTTGCCTGTGGAAACCTCCCTGAGGGGCACACACTACTTCTGGGTCTGTCACATGATCACACAATAAGGTGACAGTTCCCATTTACTAAGCACATTCTTCTCACTTAGGTCATCCTCCCAACAATCCCATGAGGAACACAAAAGGGCTCCCTCTCAAACTCACCTCATTTTAGGCAGTGAAGAAACCAATTCCGGGAAAGTCCATTATGACATAGAGGCCCGAAGATGGAACACTTGTCTCTGGACTGCTGGCATCAGGTAACCAGCTCTGTGTGTGGGACCCTCACTGCTCCACGCTGCCACCAGCAAGTTCACTGCTTTCACCTTCTTAGCCACGAGTAGGAAGGGGAGGTGATATCTGAAAACCTGACAGACACTCTTATAGAAACATTAGGCACAAACACAAACTGCTTCACCCAACACTGTCAACAACATTCTCTGGTTTGGGGAGACAGGGTTTCTTGTAGCTCATAACCTAATATATATTCTGATCAGAGAGAACAATGAAAATATGTCAAGAAGGTATTTCAGGTTGTTCAGAACAAAAACAAAAAGAAAAACCAAGCACGGAATTAAAATTATTTAAAATAGCAAGTTGCATTTGGCCTGTCAAGTGAGAGAAGTAGGATGGGTGAGAGTCTGACTTCTCCTTAGAACACCACCAAAGGCTTATGAAGACCACTCACAACCAAAGCTGCTAATCAACCTTCGCATGAGCAAATAGCACACATGGGCTTTCTGTATGCACACGCGCCTTCATGAAGACATTTGGAGTGTACGCATGCAAAAATGCCACAGCAAAGGAATGGTGTGTCCAGATGATTGACCTCAGGTCATCAGGCTTGGCAGCAGGTGCCTTTACTCACTGAGCCATCTTGCCAGCTCCAGAAATTTGGCTTCTTAATCAAATACTGTAAATCTGATGAACTTGTGCTCACTAGTTCTATCAGAAAGATTGTGAATCACCTAAAACTTACCCCTGCCCCCAATTATACACACACGTCACTGTAGAAAATCAGGACATTTAAAATTAAACCACCTAAAATCTATTCACTCAGAAAAAAAAGTTAAATCTTGAATCTTGGTGATGTATTCACAGTTTATAATGTATTGCTTAAAAAAAACAAACCAACCAACCAACCAGGTGGTGGTGGTGGCAGCACATCTTTCACCCCAGCAGAGGCAGGCAGATCTCTGTGAGGCCAGCCTGGTCTAGAGTGAGTTCCAGGACAGCCAGGACTACACAAAGAACCTTGTCTGGGGGTGGGTTTGGTGGGGAAGAACCACCCAAAAAACAAACAAAAACCCTCTACTTTGCTGAGTATGGTGGTCCATGCCTTTATTCCTAGCCCTCAGGAGGCAGAGACAGGAGGATAGCTTTGAGTTATTGACCCAGTGAGTTCTGGGCCAGTCAGAAGTATATAGTATGTCAAAAAAGAATGAACAGATGGGATGTGGTTATGTGTTAATTCTAAATTTATCTGTATTTGGTGGTAAGTGTTTTTGTTTTTTTGTTTGTTGCAACTCAGAGGTCTGCCTCTGCCTCCACCAGAGTGCAAGGATCAAAGGTATGCACCACCACTCCTGGCTGTCTTCATTTTTGAGAAAACATGAAAGAAAAATTCCCACTTTTAAAAACCCCAACCCCATTCTCAGGCCAAGGGCAGTCTGGCTGGCAGCCTTCACATATATCCCTAAAAAATTGGGAGCACAATATATGAAATATTATTTTAAAAATCATCCTCCATAACTGAGCGATGGTGGCACACATCTTTAACCCCAGCACTCAAGAGGCAAAGGCAGGTGGATCTCTATGAGTTCAAGGCTAGTCTGGTCTACAGAGCAAGTCCCAGGGCAGCTAGGACTACATAGAGAAACTCTGTCTCGAAAAACTAAAAACTAACTAACTAAATAAAAACATCTTCTATGTCATCAGCAGAGCTCAGGGGCTCACAGCTGACATCTCAGCCCTCAGGAAGCTGAGGCAAGACTACATAGAAAGACTGTCTCCTAAAAATGAAATAAACGGGTAACACACACGTAGGCATCTTGGCACCTGGCGTCTTTAAAACACTTGTGCTTCCCAAAGAGACAAACCTTTTCAAAGTCTTTTCATACCACTTGAGATGCTCTATATAATACAAAGATGCATTTTAAAATAGATTGTTTCCGTGTATGTGTGTGTGTGTGTGTGTGTGTGGTCCAAGAGAGGGTGTCGGATCTCCTGGAGATGGGAGTTACAGCCAATCATGAGCCTATTCCAACTCAGTGTTCTCTCCAGCTCCCAACACTAAATTTTTTGACACAGACTCGGTGCGTTTTTAAGACGTTTAAACACTTTATTTGTCACCACCATAAAAATAAGTATTTTCAGGGCCGTCGTGATGGCTCAGAAGGCGCTTACCAGCAAACCTGACCTGAGTGTGAATCCCGGAACCCACATGGTGGAAGAACAGACTTCTTGAAAGCTGTCCTCTGACCTCTACACTTGCGCCGTGCAACACGTGCGCATGCATGCACACAATAAACACACATAATCTCAAAAATAAAAGGAGAATTTTCACATTCTATTGGAAGCCCGGCGTAGTGGCTCACGCCTCTAAGCCCAGCCTGGGCTACACAAGACCCTGTCACAAATAACAGGAATCGAAGCGGGTTTCGGAGAGCGCTGGTCCCATTTGGCCTCTCCTGAGACCCGCCATCCGTGAGGACGCAGGGCCGGGTCCCCGCTGGCTTCCAGCGTCCCCCGGGAGCGGCCTCCCGCAGGCCGGCATGGGCTCCCCCGCCGCAGAGTCCCCCCAGAGCCACGGCCGAGAGCGCACCCGGCCGGCCAGGCCCCGCTCGCCCCGCGGCCCTCGCTCGGCGCGCAGGCCCCGGGAGGCCGGCCCTCACCTCACGCAGCAGCGCAGCTCCGCCGAGGCCCTCCCGGACGATGGTACGGAGGGGGCTGCCGGGCCGCCGCCCGCGCCCTCCCTCGCCACCCCCGCCACCCGCGCCCTCCTTGCCCTGCCCTGCCCGCCAGGCCCGGCCGCACTCACCCGCTCGCCCGGCGCATGCGCCGCTGCAGGCCTCGAGGGCGACGGTGGGGGAGAAAAAAAAAAACCAAACCCCAGGTTGAGGGCGTGGCCTGAGAGCGAAGAGGGCGTGGTCTCGAGCTATGGGCGGGGCCTGACAACAGGCCGCGGGCTGGGAGAGGCTAGCGGCCCTGCGAGGCCCAGCGCCCCCTGCCGGCGCCTCCCCACCGTGCGGTCTCCCCCGACCCCGAACTCAGCATTTTCTTAACAGCGGGGTTCTGGAGGCCGCTGTGATCGATAGGCCGGGTCTTCGTGTGATCATTAGCGTTTCACCTTGAAGTATCTCGCAGCCTGACGTCACACACCGCATGGTGGTTGCTTTCAAGCCCCAACAAAGAACATCCGGGCTAGATAAATCCAGGTCCCCGCAAAACGCGACGCGACTGGAGCAGTGTCCTCAGGCCACACCCTGGATTCCAAAGGTCTTAGGGATTGGAGGTGGGGTTAGAGAGGCTGAAGCAATGGCTCAGCGGCTAACCGAAAGGGTGTAAGAGAGTCTCTTCCAGAGAAAGCACCCACATGGCAGCTCACAACCGCCTGTCCTGTAACTCCAACTGCAGGGCATCTGATGCCTCCGCAGGCACACACCACACACACACACACACACACACACACACACACACACACACACACACACACACAAATGTAAATAGTGAGCTGAGGCTATCACAACGAATTGGATTCCGTCATTGAAATACTTTTCAGACCTTGACAGTCAATGAGCAGATGGAGAAGCATTAAATTAAACGAACATAAATAATTGTGAACATACTTTTCGAATTATCCCTTGGGCTGGAGGTTACCTCAGTAGTGGTCTGTGCTTGGCAGGGTGAGGACTGAGGTTTAAGCCCTCGGCATTATGAATACCAATCCAGAGTGTGGCTGTGTGTTTCCCGCGCTCCCTCTCTCAGTGTTAAAAATGGATTCCAGTGACAGGAGAGATGGCTCAGCTGTTAAGGAAATTGGCTGCTCGACTAGGAGGCCCAGGTTTAATTTCCAGCACCCACAGTGAGGCTCACAATCGCCTCTCATCTCCAGGGGCACCACGAACACGCGTGATGCTCAGTCATACTTCCAGGCCAAACACTCACACACATAAAAATAAAATATGTAAAAACAACAGCAACCCCCCCCCCCACACACACACCTTCTGTTTGTTTTTCGAGACAGTTAATCTGTGTAACAGCTCTGGCTGTCCTGCAACTCACTTGGTAGGTCAGGCTAGCCTCGAACTCTTAAATCTGCCTCTGCCTCCCAAGTGCTGAGATTAAACACGCTCCACAACGTCTGGTTTATATAATCGCAGGCCTCCACCACTGAGCTGCCCCCCCAACTCTACTCTGGGTGCGAGTTAAAGGTGTCAGTACAATTACAATACAACAAGCTGTGGGTGATACTCGGGTTTGTAATTTAAGCACCCAGGGTTTAACCAATTGTAAGCGAATGGCTAAATCGAGTCGGGGTACCCTATTCCCAAAGTCACCTGCAAAGTCCCAGCTGCGGTTCGTGTCTTGCCCCCACTCATGCGCTGTGTTCTTTCTGCCAATCACCTGCTACTCAGGCAGTCTTCACCGACTTCCCTACCCCGAGCTGTGCGGTATTGAAGAGACAGTGCTTGTTTGTGAGGTTCATTTTAGTGACCTATAGGCATTTTGGGATCTATAGGCGTGCTCGGCTTAGACAAATGAATATTCACAAACGTTGGTGTGACCCGAATAAAGTAAGAAAGGATTTGCAGACACTCTTTACTCCTAGTGTACTTAGCACCTGGCACAGAATAGGGAATCGATGAATGCTCAATACAAGACTGTTGAATTCATAAAGATGCTGCCGCGGGTACTGGATTCTCAGAGTGAATCAGATTCTCCAGTGGAGGTCACAAGGGGGCGCCATGCAATCACCGTCGGTTGTAACTATCTAGTTTCTCCTTCTTGCCCTTGCCTTGTCTGTCTGCTAAGAAGCTGTTTTATTCCAAAGCATTGTGCAGTCAAAAGTAAACACACATCCTTTTGTCTGCATCACTGAAAATCAAAACAAACAAACAAGAAAAGCTTGCTGGGTGAGCCACGTAGTCTTCTATGTCACAGTATTTGGATGCCATGCATCAGCGTCAGAGATGATGAGCTGGAGTCTTTCTTGGTCCTTTTTCAGGGCTCCTTTTTCTCCTCCGCCTGAGTGGCAGCTGGGTAAACTCTTCAAAGTCTTAGGATAACATTTTTACAGGAGTATTTAACCACCGTCCTCCCAACGTTTTGCTATACATGTATCATAGCTTAAATTTTTCCTGATTACACAGATGTTATACAGTAGATAATAGAACAGTACAAAAGAATGAAAAATTAATAAATCCCATGTCCCTGAACTGATCCTTTGATCCGTGTCTTCCCATGACTTTTAAACCTTCATGCACATATACATTCTCAAAATCAGATTATCATGTTAAATGGCAGCCTTTTTCAGTTAATATAATACGAACATTCTTTGTGCTATTAAAATGCTAGTGGCACCTTACAATTACTGTAAATGACTATATAAGTTAAATCGTTATATTTAAGTTGTTTGCACCTTTTCAAATACCTTGCCAAACCAGGCATTGTGGCAAATGACTGTAATCCCACTTGGAAAGTGGCGGCAGAAGGATCAAATGTTCAAGGCCAGGCTCAGCTATGTACCAAGTTGGAGGCCAGCCTAGGTGACAAGCCCCTCATGTTCCCAGCTGTGTTCCGTGAACATGCATTTGGATTCATTAGTGAGCCTCCTGCTTAGCGTTTTAAGGAAACTGCAGTAGCCACTGTAGAGGGGGTCAATACAAGGATATCTTTTAAGTTTTTTTCTTTCTTTCTTACTTTTTTTTTTATGACAGGCTTGAAAGGCCACCAGGGAAATCTTTTCAGTTCTCTGTGGGCCGTAATTGTTTGAAGTATTTCCATATTCTGAGTTTTGAAGTCCTAGCACCATTACACACTGAATGGTAAGCCCAAGACCTGGAAGACCCATCTTACCATGAGGGCTAATGTTATGTGTTAAGTTTAAACTACTGTGCTTAAGAGATCTGTAAAACAAAAATGCCTCTAATCTGTAAGCTCCACTTGCCCAAAGACAGTTAACTTCCTGGAATGCTGGGGGCTGTTGTTCATGTAAGATAACAAGCCACATGTTTTTACTTCTGTAAATAAGCTTGGTTGCCCCATCTGCACAGAATGTGCCTGATTACATGTAGGCAGGAAGTATGTAGGCAGGAAGTACGTCAGGATGTATGCTTGCCACTGATTGGATGAAGGTGGGAAGTATGTAGCCTTTATAAGCCACTATCCAGTGTAACTCAGGGATATACTCTGGGAATCCCAGGTATGGATTTGGCCAGTGTCTGTCATTCTGACCAATATTTACTAAAGCTTGCTTCAAATTTGACTCAAAAACTATGGTATTGGTCTTATTTATGAAGGTGGGATTAACACTTGCCTGTTGTGAACGTTGACTAGCCAAACTGAGAAGCAGAGCTTCCCCTCACCAGAGACTAATCATGGAAAGATTGCTCATTGCAATTTCTGAAACTTGTACTTGTGGTGGCAGGGCAGGACTCCATGCATCTTTCCCATAATCCCCTCCTTCTCCTTCCTCTCCTCCTCTTCCTCAGTCCCTTTCCCGTTCCTCTTCTCTCCCCTCTTACTTTCTGTCTCTCCCCCTCTTCTTATTTTCTCCCAGGCTGTCCTGAGACTCACTAAATAGCCCTCCTCTTCTAGGAACCTTGGCTCTGGTAAAACCAGACCCTTAACTTAAACACAGAAAAGAATTTCAGGACTAGTCAGGATGAAGTTGGGACTGTTAACGTTGTTTTAATATGTATTTTAAGCATGTGGGTTAAGGGGAAGAGAATCTTGGATTTGCCCGAGAGCATGAGCACCTGCTTTTCAAAGAGTGACAGTTATTGTCTTCACGAAAATCAGATATGGAGTCGTGCCGGGGCCTGAGTCTGTCATCTTCAAAGGGTTGGTAAGTGAGTTGACAGGGCGGTTTCTGCAGAGAACCTGACAGGATTCCATGCCATGAGTTAACACTCCAGATCACAGAGGTAGAAGGCAGAGTACATCTTTAGGATAAAGAGTCCAGTTTGAAAATTCCAGGAAAGACTGGGAGAAAGGCCCCACCCAAGGTCTCATACATTCAGGCCTCAATCCTGCCTCATTGACTTTTTAACACAAAATCTCTATATGAAAGGAGTGTGTCAGCCATCTTCACAGCAAATGTTTATTGTGCTGGATTTCCCTCCCCCCAACCTAATATTTTTATTAATTATTTGGGAATTTCATGCAATGCACCCCATCACACTCAAAACCCATTCCTCCCAGGTTACCTTCCCACCCTTGTACCTCACACACACAAAAAAAAGAAAGAAAGAAAGAAAGAAAGAAAGAAAGAAAGAAAGAAAGAAAGAAAGAAAGACAGAAAGAAAGAAAGAAAGAAAGAGAGAAAGAAAGGAAGGAAGAAAGAAAGAAAAAAAGGAAGAAAGAAAAGAAGAAACCTACCAAGTTCAACCTGTGTTGCCCATACACTCACTGGAGCATGGTCAAACTCCCAGTGGCCATCCTCTTAAAGAAAACTGAGTCCTTCCCTTCCCTCCCTGCACCAGAAGTCATCAACTGTGAAGAATTGCAATTCAGGATCCCTATCACAGTTTTTGTTAAAGAGTTTTATTTATTATGTATACAGCATTCTGTCTGCATGTACACCTGCAGGCCAGAAGAGGGCATCAGATCTGATGGTTGTGAGCCACTATGTGGTTGCTGGGAATTACTCTGGACCTCTAGAATAGCCCATCACAATTTTTAACAGTTCTCTTCAATGGCTTCCTTCTAGACTGTTTCTTTTGGGTGGTGGGTGCAGTTGGGAGGGGAGAGGTTGTCACAGAAGACACTGAATATCGTCTCTCCTTCTTAACTGTGAGTCTGCAGTCATCATTACCACTGCAAAAGAAGCTTCTTTGCCCTTTACAGTCAGCAGTGGTACAGATTACAGACTTCCACATCATTTCTGGTGGCAGTACAGACCACAGCTGGACCACAAACACCATCATGGCCCCCAGAGGCAACACTGACCAC